AATCCATTTTCCAAATAGCACTTTTCATGTGCTTTTGAAAATACATTATCAGACATCACTTCCAGCAGCTTCACATTACATCTAGACTAAGGACACAGTGTCCTGGCGTGACCTCCTTGGGCCTGCCTGATCTGTCCCACCTACCTCTCCGTGCCATTCCCTCCTTCAGCTCTCCCCAGCTCCCCCCATCAGCCCCCCACATTCTCACTGCCTGGAACATTGTCCTTCCAGATCTCCTTGTGGCTGACTTCTTCCTAGCACTTGGGCTTCAACTGAAGTATCTCCAGCATCAGAGAGGCCTTTGGTGTATCAATTTTAAATATTCCCCCATGACTAGTGAACTAGTCACTCTCTAGTTCATTTTCCTGTTTATTATTATCTGCCATTATTTGATTTGATTATAGGTTATCTGTCCCCTGCCACCTCCCGTGTACACCGTCCCTCCAGCATTTAGAACAGGTCTAGAACAGTTGATGTTCAATATATACTTGCTGAATGATAAATGAATGAACAATTTCTAGAAGTTGTTTGTGGTAGAAAGATGAGAAGAGAAGCAAAAACCCAGTGCCCAAAGGAACCATTGTCTAATGAGAGTTTTCACCTACTTAGCACTATCTGTATGTCAGTTCTCCACAGGAGAAGTCCCATTGAATCTTCAACAATCCTAAGAGGTGTGCATTGTTATGATTTCTATTTTACATATGAGAAAGTGAGGCATATGGATGTTTAATATTTGGCTCAAACTCACATAGCTAGTGAATGGTGGGGATGAGACCCAGGCCTCGCCATCACCGGGCTCCCAGGGAACTTTCTGTGGCCCCACCCATACACTTCCTTTGAGTCTGGAGGAATCAGGGTTGCCATAATGCCACCCTCAGGGGATGCTGGATTCTGGCTCAGGGACAAAGAAGCAAGTCTTGACTTCTGCATCTTGTGATTCCTTAAGACTGAGAAGCTCTGCAGGGACCACTCTGCTTTTCCCAGCAGGAGACTGAAGCAGCCTGAGCTTGGTCCGGTGGAGAAGCTGATAGGCTGCTATTATTTCCCCTTCCTACAGATACGAGGCAGCCACAGTGATTTGGGGGCAGCAGGAGAGTTATGTGACAATGATTTTTGAAGTTAAGGAATGTATGAAATGACTTCTGCTGGGCCTTGCCAGCCTGCTGAATGTCGATGCTGGGGAAGCAGAGAGATAATCAGTAGAGTGACTACCTGTTCTTGGGCCATCTTAGTTCTGGCTGCTGCTGGAGGCTGGTGCCCATGACCTTGGGTGGGGTCCCCAGGGTGCCTTCAGGAAATAGCACGTTAAGTAATGGAAGCCTCCATCAAGAGGCCATGATAGATCTGTTTTTGGCTGCTCCCTGTTGGGGTGTGATTGATTTCCCCCTGGATCCTGTATCCCTTTTCTTACTTATTGAGTATGGTGATGGATTTTTGACAAGATTGATTTTGACCTGAATACTGCTGAGCTAAATGAATCAACATTGTCAATTTCTCTGCCTGGTCTCAAAGAATAGTTAGGTGGAGAAGGACATTTTTTCTTTCAGTTGAAGTACTTTTAGCTTCTCTGGCTGCCCAGCCAAAGGCATCCCTCTGCCAGGGCCCACTGGCTGCCCTCACAGTGGCCCCTTCTTGTAGCCATGAATGCAGAGGTTGGCTTCCTCCTTCCTTCCAGAGAGGCCCATTCCCTGGTCAGACCTCTCGGTGCCTGCGAGGCTCTGCTTCTCTCAGACACTTTTGCTAGAAATATGAGCCATAAATTGGGCTTGACTGAGTGAAGAGGAGAGAGAGATTTTTGTCTCATCTCTCTCAGAGCTGTGATTCCTTAATCGGCACATTACTTACTTCCCCCCAAACCTCGGATTCGTATCCAATCTTGAAGGCACTGCTGATGTATGGCCACTAGCTTCTCAGAATGGGATTTTCACATTAATCTTTGCACCCTCAGAGTCTAAACAGTTTACATGAATGGTTCTAAGACACTTCGGTTTTCCTGCCTCTCTCTGCTTTCTCCAGATTTACACAGCTGGATCCACCGCTGGGCTCACCTGCGCATTCTGGCTTCCTGTGTCCTGCCTGGGAGAGGAAGGGGTGCAGAGAGTGGAGAAAGTTGGACAGGAGAGGGAGCTACCATTGCTCCTGGCCTCATCTGTGTCTGAAGAATGATTACCCTGAGGGGTGGGCATTGTTCTCCTCCTTATAATATTCATACTGTTTATGAGACTGTCTAATAACTAACACAAGATGACTACCCATTGCTGCTAAAGGCTGTCTGCAGTGCTCCTCATTTGTTGCATCTGATCCTTAGAACAACCCTGCAGAGTATGGATGTTTTAGCGATGTTTTCAGATGGCCAGTCGGGGCTCACAAGGGTCAACAGCCTGCTCAAGAATGCCCAGCTAACCTGGTGCCCTTTCTACCATGCCCCACTGCTCTGCCACCCAGTGGAGGTTTGAGATAAATCACACGCAGGTCGGACAGTTCAGGCATGATGTAGCCAGGTTCCCCAGTCAGCTGGCCGGGCCCCACCAGACCCTGAGCCAACTGAGGATGCAGCTTTCCTAGGGAGGAGACTGAGGCACCTATCGGGGGCTCCCTGGTCCCTGGACTTACCCTGGAGCATCCCCCACCAAGTGCTTCTCCAGGACCTGGCTCTGGGTAAGGATGGCTGGCTGAACTCTTGGGCCTCTTGGCCTTAGGAATACAGCACTGCTTCCTGGGCTGGGTGCCAGCTGCCAGCTCTCAGATTGTGTCCCTGATCTCTCATTCCTCATTCTCTCCCTTCGTTCTCAATTTGCTTTCTACGCCCATTATTCTTTAACAATTATTTTAACAATGACTTTAGCTTCCAAGGAAGCTCCCTAACTCATCATCAGAGAGACCTCAGCAGCCAATGATGGAACGCGGCCTTCCTCCAGGTCAGGAGGAACCCAGGCGGGGGTCCCTGCTGAGATAATGAGCCATGAGGCCAGGATCCATGACTCCTGAGTCCAAGTCTGTAGCCTTTTTCATGATACCACATTTCCACCTTCAGCCATTTGCTTCCCACACAAACAACCCATTGACATTTTTATAACTTTATTAGACTTAGCTCACATTGTTCTCAAACTGGGGACATGTAATTTGGTTTGAGGAGGTGGGGTTTCCTGAGTACTGTCGCTGCAGGCTTAGCCTGACGATTATTATAGGGTAGAATATTCTAGAGAGGAAAGGGCCACTGCTCCCAGCTGGGCCTGTAATGAAATGAATAGTCCTGCTTTTTTTTGGATAGGGCCCTCTGAGCTAATGGCAGGTCACAGCAGTGCAGGTCCCAGGAGAGTGGCACTCCAACCTGAGTGAGGAGTGACCCCTTCAAGCTGGGAGTCTCTGGATCCAGAGGTCGGCCTGCTCTTCCTGCCCCATGCCCATCAGACACCGTGGGCGCGCTGAGAGAGAGAGGGACTCAGGAGGGTGCTCAGAGGCCGTGAGCAGAAGGAATGGCAAGGTGGAACGCCGGCAGCTGAGGCCTATACATCTGCAGGCTTTTCCCAAGGACCAAGCTGCAGGCAGAGGAGCCCATGGGATGTTGAGGGAAGACAAGGGGCAGCTATCTCCTCTCGTTGGGCAGGAGCTGGGGCCGGGAGAGGGCGGAGCTGTGGGGACAGTCCAGGCCGCCGAGTGGGTGCTTCCACCAGAGTGGAAGGGTGGGGGTCTCTGGTCTCTGTCAGACTCTGGGGCCTCAGCCTTTCTGATGCTCTCACAAATCTGATTTATTTTTCTCCTAGTAATTCATCTCATCCTGACAGCTTTGGGGAGGGATTAGCTGCCAGAAGGCTCTGTGTTGCCTTACCACACCAGGGAAAGGCAAGTCAACAGGGAACGCCTCTGCATGAGCGCTAACAAATTCTCAAGAGAAAAAGCACAGACAGGCAGACTCAAAGGGGCCAGGTCTGTCAGAGAGCTCTCGCTTCTAATAAAAATTCCCGGTCCAGGCCCCAGGAGCTGAAGGTTCTGCCCTGGGCTGGTCCCTGCTCAAGTGATGTCTTCTCCCTTGTTTCCCCTCCACCCCCACCCCCACCTTCAGTCTGAGTGATCTGATTTGTGCTGTGAGTAGTGCAGATACCTCCTGAGATCAGCGTGGATGATTCTGGACTCCTTCCACTGGGGTCATTTTACTGACTGGTTATTCATCTGGGTCCAGTGGGAGAGGGTCAGGGGGGATGTCTGGCTGTCGCTTAACCCCTTTTTTGCTGGTTTGTCCTCTGCCTAGTTAACGTAGGAGCTTCCGGTGCTGCACAGAGGCAGCTGCTCCCCAGGGCAGGGTGCAGCCACCTCCCGCCCCAGTGACCCGCAGTGAATCTGGTGGTTGTGTCTGGTCTCACTAGCTGGCACCTGCAGAGTGGGTGGGCCCCTGCTCTGTTGTTTCCGTCTACAAATCTAGTATAAAATGTCTCAGGACTGATCTTCACTATCTTGAACTCATCTGCTATGGAATAGGCAGGTTATAAAAAAGACAAATCATTTGCAGAGAAAGATCTCCCTATGCCAGGAGAAGAAGTAGACAGAGATAAATGGAAGGAACTGCTCTCCAAGATTCTTAGTCACTTCCTTTTCTTTATAGGGGCAAGCTAGTCTGCTTTCCACCGGAGCATTTCCCTCCAAAGATGCAGGTGTGTGGAAACGAGACTGCAGGGAGAACTTCCAGGCAACAAAGGATGTGAGACTATAGAAGGGGTGCTATAGCTGGGCTGATGGAGGAGGGAGGCCTCTCTGGACTTTGCCCAGGGGATGCTGGCTCTCTGATATGAAGGAAGAAGATGGGGAGGAAGGTTCCCCAAACCTCTGACCTTGATCTGAGCATCACAGAAGCTTCCTCCCCTGAGGATCCTGCAGCAGTCAAGCCATCAGCTTTCAGAGATGATGGCTCACACTGAAATAACTTGTTCCTAGGGTAGTTGGTGATCAATGACTCAAATTAAATCTTAGCAAAGTTTTTTTTTTTCCTTCCTGACACTTTATAGGTTTCTCTACTTATCTCCTCCCTGGATGGCTGTATAAGCCAGATGATGGTTACCTGAACACTCTAGAAAAAGAATTCACAGAGGGTTTCACAGGGGTGAGTGAACTCTTGGATTGGTTGAGGGTGGGGGTTCCACCTGCTAACACCCAAACCAGCAATAACACTGTCTGGGCAGCCACCCACTGTTTCTCTACCCAATTTCCCTTTCCCTGTTTATTGTTTCAGCCTTCCTGGGTTGGTAGGAGCTGTTTCCTGCACCCCAGCCTCCCTCCCTAGTTCACATGGTTTCAGCTTCTAAATCAGGTTATCTCTCTGGTCTGCATTCCCAGTAACTGAATTATCTTTACATGAGTACACAGAGGTCTGGGCGGGGTGGGAGGGGCTGTCTGGGCTAGAGATTGTCTTCCTGGCTGCTCCCTATGCTTGGTCTGAGCAGCCTCCTAAATGATGCTCCTGATCTCTTCTTCTCCCTCTGCAGCACAGCCTCGCAGTCTGGAGGGAGAAGAGGGCAAACCGGTCTTCACGGACGCCACCTACTGCCTGGCTGGGCAGAGAGCCAGTGGATCAGAGAGGCCGGCTCTGTTCTTGGCAGGAAATGAGGAGCTGGCATGGAAATGCCACCCAGGCTGGGAACAAGATCTATGGAGTGGCAGCCTGAGTGGGTGAGGTGAGGGGGAGCACAGGACAACCCAAGGCTCTCTTGCCAGCAGCGCCAGTCCACAGGGATCTTCAGTGGTCAGCATTCGAACATGCTGGACTGGGCCGGGCCATGGAAACCCACTCTTTGTCAGTGAATCCCAAGCTTCAGTGCACCTCTGTATCACCTTGGCAGGAGGGTAGTATTTAAAAGGCCGTTTCCCAAAGCCTAGCTCAAGAGTTGGATCAGGAAGTTCGGGATGAAGCCTGATAATTAGTCTTTTAATAAGCCTTCCTAGCAGGAGACGACTTTGAGAAATGTGGGTGTAGAGATTCAGACAAGAAAGCTAATAGGGCCATTGAAAGCCTTTTACCTACCAGAATGGGATCAATACACACTTCCCCAACCTTGAAAGCAAGATTTCTCCTAATACTATCCTTGGAGCCACCCAACCCTACCACTCCCATTAAAGTCACTGGGGGTGTTTGCTAAAATGCAGACTATGGGTTCCCAACACAGATGTATTGAATCAGATTCTCTAAGGGTGAGGACTTGAATATACACTTACAATAAGCACCCTAATAATAATAATAGCCTAGGTTCATATAGTGTTGACTCTGTGACATGTTCTTTAATATTAGCTCATTTAATATGTACAACAATTTGTGAGGTAGGTTATATTATTATTCCATTTAGCAAATGATGGAACTGAGACCCAGAGAGGTAAAGTAACCTGCCAAGGTTATACCACTACTTAGTGACTGAACTGGGATTCAGACCTAGGTGCTGCTATAGTTGGGCTCCTAATGTAGGAGAAGAAAAATATGTGTCCTCTACTATCTTATGTTTAGTGCCTGAAGCCTTTGAATTAAACTGACGAAAGGTACATTAGCAGGAGGAAAAATACAGAGTTTATTTACACGTGTAACAGGCATACATGTGGTTGAGTTCTGTGATGAGTAACTCAAAGGGGTATTAGCATTTGGGGCTTATGTACCATCTTAACAAAGGATAATAAAATGTGGAGAACAAGGGAAATAGGTTAAGGGGTGGCTGGGCTAGAGTTTACTGTGGGAAGGTGAATATATGAGGAAAATTAATATTTGAGGTAAGATAAGGATTATTTTAGTAAGGTTTACTTATGTAGACCCATGTGGGCACTGACGTTTTGTCTCCAATATAAGGGTGGTTCACTGTACAGAACAGGGAAAGGGGAACACCTTCACAAAGGGAAAATTATGCACTGCTTCTAGGCAGATAGAAAGAAGGTAGAGAGCTCTTTCTGCATTTGCTGCATCTTAATTGCCTTCAGTGGTATACTTTGGATGGCATGTTCTGATTCCCTTTGCTAACCAGCATACCATATAGCCCAGCTTCTTCAGATGGAGGCTAAATCTCAAAACCCCTTATCAGTCATACTTGCCAGCTTCTGATCAACTCTGCAGTAGAGGGAAGAACCTGAGCAGAAGCTAATGTGGTAGTTGCTGAAGGTACAGGCCAGAAGGCAACTTAATGATCTGTAAAGAGCACTGCTCTGGAAGTCAGGAGACAAGGATGTACTAGGAACATGCCAGGTGACAGTAGACAAGTAGATTCTCCTTTCAAGGCTTTGGTTCCAGCCATCTGTCAAGATGATGCTAAGCTGGATGACTTCTAGATTTCTTCTCAGCTCTGGCATTTGAAAATTATGTGCATTTCTCTTTCGGAGCAAGCTGAGGCAGTTTCCTGGAGGCTCTGTGTGTATGTGTGTATGTTGTAGGGGAGAGGACAGTTATATGTGGGGGAAGTAGCCCCAGCCCAAATCAGGCTGGGCGTGTGTGTGTGGCTGCTGTAAGTCTGGGTGTATCCCAGGCCAGGCCAGTGGGGAAGGGTTGGAACTTACAAGGGCAGGACTTGCACTGAAACCAAGGCTGTTTCTCTCTCAGCTGTTTGTCTAGTTTCGTCCTGAAACAATGCCCTTAGGCTCACCTAAGGAGAGAATGAAAGGCATAGAGACTGGGGCAGCTGTGGAGATAACATAGAAACAGCTTCAGGGCAACCGAGACCCAGAAGTAGGCACCAGCTTGTGCCAACTATACAGTCTTCTTTTCTACTTAGAAGCCAGCTCCAGGTAGCAGGTTGGGCAGGGCTAGGTGGGGCTGGACATCCTTTTGTGGTGTAATTCAATTCCTTGGGCCAGTTCAGGCCTATGGAGAGCTCCATGGGAATGATCCACTGGGGAAAAGCCAGCCCCCACATTGATCCTGCAACTTCCTTGTGTAGGCTCAGCTATCTAGCAGCACATAATGTGGTGACAGACACTGAGTCCTTCTCTGACAATACAACTTGATCTGCAGTCCTTTCATCTCAAAGAGAATGGCCAGCAAGGAGCCCATTCATGGGGCCTTGTTGGACAACTCCACCCACACAGTCTTCAGTGGTGCTCTGGAGAACAGAAGCTGACAAGAGGCTATGGTATGTGTGTGTCTATGAGTGTGATGAGTGGGTGGTCAGGCACTGGTGTTTGATGAGAAGCCACTGGTTGTGGTTACCTTTGCAGCAAGAGACCATCGTCTAGTCTCAGCTCCTATCTTTTATTTTATTTTTTTAAGATGGAGTCTCGCACTGTTGCCCAGGCTGGAGTGCAGTGGCACAATCTCAGCTCACTGCAAGCTCTGCCTCCTGGGTTCACACCATTCTCCTGCCTTAGCCTCCAGAGTAGCTGGGACTACAGGCGCCTGCCACCATGCCCGGCTAATTTTTTGTATTTTTAGTAAAGACAGGATTTCACTGTGTTAGCTAGGATAGTCTCGATTTCCTGACTTCGTGATCCTGTAATCTCAGCCTCCCAAAGTGCTGGGATTACAGGCGTGAGCCACCGCGCCCAGCCCTCAGCTCCTATCTTAAAGCAGAGAATGCCCAACCCTCCACATCTCCAGGGGTAAAGGAGGTGGTGTGCTCAGGCTCTCTTTCTTGGTGGTCTACATGGATGGTCCCAAGACAGCTTCAACTTGGATATGGTTGGTGGCAGGGCGGGAATGCCAGTGCATTTAGCAGCTGGGCATTGGCCAACCAAGCAATTTACAGGGTTGAGGGACTGGCTTCAAGCCAGCATCTCTTGGGTCACAATGAGAAACCACCAGCCCTGCGGTCATCTATGTGATGAGTATTTGCTTGTAGAGCAAGATGGTGGGTGGAAGCTCGGAGGGACCTTAGAAGAATGCTGCGGTGAACTAAGAGGGGAGACCTCTGAGAGAATGAAACCCAAGTTCCTGCTAATGGAGCAATTATTATCCTGCTGGTCTCCAAAGCACATCCTATAACCTAAAGCAGCATCCGTGTCTGCATCACTTCATGCTGAACCAGAGCTGTGACACATCTTCAGATTCCAAGTCTGTTGCTTCAGAAGACAGGGAATGTGCCCGTACTCTCTGATAGAGGTGGGCACGAGGTGCTTCAACAGTTTAGTGATTCCTCCTCCATCCAGACCTTCTTGATCCCCCTGGTCTGACCTGAGTGGTCCTTTCCTCATACTCAGCTCTCCACCTTCCTTATCACATTGTATCATAATTGCTACAGGTCGGTCTTCAGGTAGATTGAGAGCTCCCAAGAACAGGGACTTGCCCACTGTCTTGCCCATCTTTGTGTCCTCAGCCCTTGGCATATGGCATGGCTCAGCTCAGGAGCTCTGTTAAAGGTTGTTGAAGGTTGTTGAGTGGATTGTGGGCAGGTCTCTAGGAGCTTTCTGCCTAGACAGACCCTCAAAATCCCTTTCTTGGTGGTTCACCTCCTTCTCCCAGGCCCTGTTTCTCCCAGAGAAATACCTCCTCCAAAGGAAGGAGGATGAGGCTGAGCACATGGTTGTTGTGGAAGGACACTTGGGGCTGACAGCTGCACATGGTTGAATCATGAAAATGGCACCCTCACTGGGTGAAGACTTCAGCTGCCCAACACTCCACCCAGGGTTGGAATGAGAACCACATGCTCCCTTCCTCCTGGAGTGGCAGGCCCTCAGCTTCCCTCTAGCCAATCCATCTAGGCAGACAGGGAGCTGCTGTCTGGCATCAGAGGTTTGCCTTGTTGTGGGTCAGGTAGAAAAACAGCTTGCTTCCCAAGGAGAAAGTAGAAATTTGTCGGCACACAAGGGTAAATATTGAGTGTGATATGGTGCTAATTAGCTACACAAAGGCCATTAGCATTAATGAGCTCTGTCTCTGTGGCTCAGTCCCTCTGCCGTGAGCAGCAGCACCATTGCTTTGGTCCAGGCTCGCTGGCGGTGGCTCAGTGTGCTAGCTTCTGCTGTGCGTTTTTCTGATGCCTTTGTCTTGGAAGAAAAATAAAGACAGCTAGAATTACAACGAAGTCCCTTTTCTTTTAACATTTCTTGGAACAAATGCAGAAACTTCAGGTTAAAGATACACTAAAAAGATTTTATTTGTTTCACATTTCCAATCTTAATCACGCCTTCTCCTCAGACTTTGGACAACATAGGCTGGAATTGAAGAAAGGAGTAGGGTGGAGGAATGATCATAACCAGAATTTTAAGGGAATATTTACTATGTACCAAACACAGAACCATACACAACCTTGTTTAAGCCTCACAAGAACCATATAAGATGGATTCTATTATCTTCATTTTGCATCTGTGGGGGAGTGAAACTCAGAGGGGTTAAGTAACTTGCCCAAGTTCCTCCAGTTAATAAATAAAAGAGCTAGGATGCTTCAGCTGTGCCTGAATCCAAAGCCCATGATCTTAACCATGACACTGAACTCCTTGGAAGAGAGTGCAGGAAGGATCATACTGAACAGTCTTGCCTCTTCAAAAGTAGGGGAGAAGAAGAAAATCAACAAAGGATTTGTTCATCATTTATTAGTAAAGATATTTATTTATGGTTTAACATCTACTATGGACTGAGTTTGGGGATGTAATATATTGTTCTTGCTCCCATGGAAGCTGCCATTAAGTGATGAGATAATATAAACAGATAACTATAATAAAAGGTAGCATGGTCTGTGGTAAAGATAGGCACTGTGCATTGTGATAGCATGAA